CTTATAAAAAAAACTTGCTGTCTCGTGCTCGCGCATGATATTTTCCTCATATAAACATATATGCTTTTGCACACACATACACACACAAACATATACACATACACAAGTCTACAAATATTCATATACATGGTTGGTATCTGAAATTTTGTTCGTACTAACGTCATTGTGAACTTCCTTTACGTTCAAAAATAAGAAGAACAAAAAATTGTCATATAAACATAGATTATTTAAAGCTTTATTAAAAAGTTATAGTATATATTGTCAAATTATTTAAATACGTTGTTCAAAATGTTACTTAATTTATGAGAAAACGAATACGATATCATTGTAGTATACTAACGTATGCTATAATAAATAAAAATCTTTTGGAGTAAGAGGTCAAGGGATATAAGTGGTCAACTAGAAACAAAATAAGTTGCAACATTCAATAATAGTAAACAACATACCCAATACCGTTAAACATTATTACTGAATAGTATTTCTTTTTTTTATAATTTATGTTATAACTTTTGAATAAATCTTTAAATGACCTATGTGTGTATATATAATATCATTTTTTTTTTTACTTTCTAGCATAAAATACGCTACAAAATATCAAAATATTTCTACGAAAAAATCTTAAGATACTCTGTATATATATATATATTAAATCCATATATGGATATGTATTTACATACATATATAAAGTTTATATATAGAGACAAAGTCGTGTATGCAGGGCACGAATGTGAAAGCAGAACTTTTTCCGTATAAACGGACTAACGAGTTTCGTGTAATGACGACTTCTCTAGAAGATAATGAGAAAAAAAGAGGAAAGAAAGAAAGAAAGAAAGAAAGTCAGAAAGAAAGAGAGAGAGAGAATGAGGAGGAAGGAAAAAGGATCGATGAGCGGAAGTCGAACGAAGAATACTCTTCTGTCATACTGATTAAAGGAAGTTCAGCTTCGATCGGTCTCTGATAATACAACGTGGATGATGATGTACTCTTTCATCGATTAAACACAATACACCAAGCTCAAAGTTAATAATAGTGTGTATAAGTAATATCTATGTATGTATAACACACGTGACTTCGCGTAAATTCGTGAAAAAGAAAAGAAAAAGCAGTATGAGACATATACATTCCGTAAATTTTTCATACGTTCTTGTAACATACTCATGTTAAATAAATTATTTTGTAATTGATTTTATTTTTATTTTTTTAATATTTTTTATTTCATAAAAAATATTCTTTACAAAAATTGTCTATACTTACACATGATAAATATAGATGTCTAAGCAAGCGGTAGAACATAATCGATAAACGGCTATTATACTTTCATCGAATTCCTATTAATCAAAGACAAAAGCGTCCCCAGGAATATATTCGAACGAATCAGGGGTGATGAAAAATAAAGTACCATTTGTTTGATGAAATAAAGAACGAATATAAGTATATAAAGTATAACAATCATTACCAATAAGATTTCTCAATGCTATCTTTATCTAATAACATGGAAAAAGGGAAACTAGATTTTGTTGATAGGTGAATTATATTATACGTCTATACCAGGGGTACTCAATCTAATGTACATCTGAAATGTATATCTGAAATATCTTTATTGCACCGTAACTGTGACATTAGTCATAACTTTAAACATTTATTACAAACATATTGAATGACTGATATTATATACACTTAAAAAGTTTTTATAACGATTCTATTTATGATCGTACAAATGTATAATATTTCATTTTTCATCACTCGGTAGAAAGAAAAGTGATCCTTTTCTCTGTTTTTGACTATCGAAGAATATAGTTAACTAGAGACATACATATGTATATGTATGTATATATTTACACAAAACAAAGGATTGACCAATGCTCTAATTGGCAGACGTCAGTCACAATTTGTCGGTTTCGTTGCCCCTGTCGTCTCGTTGATGAGGTTTACGAGCTACATATTCCATCTCTCTCTCTCTCTCTCTCTCTCTTTCTCTCTCTCTCTATTTCTGTGTTCTAGAACTTCGATATGAAATAGCTGCAAGCACAGCGAATTTAGATTCGCACGCGACACTTCGGTGACAAGGAAGACTATGTCTTCGTGATCCGTGAAATTAACTCATAACTACCATCATAAACACTATTGCACAATCATTGCAATTACTATGTTCGTTGCAACCTCTATTTCTCGCTAAAACGACGTAATAACTTTAGAAACGATTTGGTTTTTTTTTTTTTAGAATACGTTACCAGAAAATATTCAATCTTTGTTTTGCATCCTTTTAAACATTGTTTTTTTTCTTTTACTCCATTACGAGAATAATATTATTTTGTTTTTAAATTGAATTTCTTTCCTTTACTTTATTAGATTCTTTTATATGTCATTTTTTCTTTTTATTGATAATTGAAAAATATATTAAGTAATAGTAACTTCCAACTAGAAATTTGTTAGATTTTATACAGGATGATATCTTTATGAATATTTCAAGTAAGAAATATTTTTGTTCTTTAAATGAAACATACACAAGTATAGAATATGAAAATCATTATTAATGTTAAACGTAAGAGGTTATTTGTTTTTATTTTCTACTTTTCTGAATTTCTATCTCTCTCTTTCTCTCTTTCTCTTTTTTTCTCTCTTACATTTCATCTTCGTCCTTTCTTATCAGATTTCATCTGCTTTTTTTATTTTTGTCGTAGTAATAAAGAAAGCTTTCATTTAAAATTCATGGGTTGGATCTTTTCCCTGTTTCCCGTTAATAAATAAATCGTGTTTCCTCGCAACTCAGAATTTTTAATCATCGTCACAAGGAAAGATAAGACTGCAAAAGGAGAAAGGAGGAGAGAAAGAGAAAGAGAGTGTAGATATTTTTTTTTTTCATTTTAAAAGTAGACACGATATGAAGGTTAGATCGGGTTTTATGATGTGGTTTTTATTTATTTATTTAAATTGTATGCAACATTTGAATAGCAGTAATAATACTAATTGTAAATGACTTAAGTTAAAAGAACCGAATTGTTTGAACAACAAAATATAATCATCGCATTTTTAATCTTTTAATACTTAATAAAATTTATAAGAAAAGGATGAATTGAGACATAAAATTTGAATAAAAATTTACTTTTTTTTTTAGCATAAACTATATAAAGTTCTTTTTTTCTTCCTTTTTATTACAAATGCAAATTTAACAAATCAAAGATTAATAATTCTCTGCCCTTAATGATCTTTACCTTTTATCTATTCAAAGGGATTAAATACACAAATATTTAGGATTATGGCATAAATCTATAAAGCAGGGATTGAAACGGTTTTCGAAAATAAATTTTAAACTGTTTTGGTAGAGGATATTTGGTAATTAGCGTTACAGCTCAAAGAATATAATAATTTATGATAAAATTAGTCGAAATATTGAATAATATTTTGTAATATATAGTTTAGTTTTTAAAATAATCGATTACGCTTGCGCTTGATTATGTTTTGATTTAACAGATTTCATTAAAAATTATTATTTCGATTCAAGTACGTATTTATTGTACTGAATAATCAAAAATACATATATAGTAAAACAGAATATTGATTTATGATAAATATTATTATTAGAGAAATGGTATAAACTTTTCGATTGTACCGTTATTTACCGAATTTATCCTGTATTTCGTTTGTTATTGAAAAAATGATAAGAATCAACAAAACGTTACGAATATAACGATTTTCATCTATATTGCTTTTGGTTTTTTAAAATCAATATTACGTCGATTCTATATACTTATTATTTTTGATACTATATCGATCGCGTTTCAATTCTATTCAGTTATATAACTGATGTATAATATTGATTTTTAAAAACTAAAACGAATATGGATAAAAATCTTTCTATTCATAACATCAACAACATTTTTATCAATATTCATAACAGTTATCAAAAATTTTTTAATTGTAATTTCGAATTATAACGCGTCATCAAATAATTATTTCCATACTTTTTACTAAAATGCTAAAGAAAAAAAATTCGTTTATAGTAATAGTTATAAATATAAATAATATACATATAAATATATGAATCGTTGCATTTTCTCTACGAAATAAAATTAAAAAAAAAAAAAAATATTCTTCTAACGATGTTTACAAAAAAAAAAAAAAAAAAATAAACGTATCTTTTTTGTCAAATATAAATTTAAAACGTTGAGTACAAATTACGTGAATTCTCGTACATAGTAAATAGAGCGTTGAAACCGAGTTACGAGATATCTCGTTTTTTTTTCTTTTCTTTTTGTAATACACCCGTATAAACGACGACTCGACGAATGAAAAATAATTTCATTAAAATTATATTAAATTTGTAGATTAAAAGAAAAAGATAAAAATAATGACTGAAAATATAATTTACGAGTAGTATTTAAAAAAATTACGAGAATGTCAATAAAGAAATACAAAGAAAAATATAATAAAAAATTTTTTTAGTCACGTTTCAAAAGATTTTACGAATATCAGAAGTTTTAATATTATTAATCGTTAATCATTTGTGACATTCGCATTCCAATTATAGAAATCTCGGGAATCGAGAAGAAAAAGTAATCGTCGTAATACACGAAGGAAAGAAGATTTATTTACTCAATGTTATTTCTCACAAATCCAACACGAAACTTTGATAGCGCGAAGTCGATATTATAATTATAACGACGACGTCCGGTCGAGCATCTTTCCGTTGTCGTTCCTTTTATCGGTCCCTCGACGGCCTTTGTAACAAGCTTACAAGCCAGATCGACCGCATCGGCTGAATTCTCTTAAGGGGGTTGACAAGTTAACTTTAGAAAGTTGCGTCGACAAGATGGATAGCAAGCTATCTAAAAAGAGAAAAAGAGAGAGAGAGAGAGAGAAAGAGAGTAAAGGAAAAAGAGAAAGACAGAGAAAGAGGGGGTGAGGGAGGGGCGAGTGTGTGGGGGGGGGAGGGAACCAACGAAGGAATCTCAGGCACGTCGATACAATTTCCTCACGACGGATCCTGCTTTCTGTTTCAGAAGCTTGCGAACCCGCTCGATAGCCTGTCCTCGATGTCGAATTAAAAGAAAATAATAAAAAAAGAAGGAGTTAAAGAAACAAAACAAAAAAAAATATATATATATATATATATACAAATATATATGAGAAATATTTTGAAAATATAAAAATATGTTAATACGAGATCAAACGGAGATACGAACGATTTGAAAATAAGAATCGGTTGGAAGAAGATTTTTTTTTTACACGTGAAACCGATTGGAGGAGGAACAAAGGGGGGAAAAAAGAAAAAGAAAAAAAATAAATTTAAAAAAAAGGAGAAAAATAAAACGGGGGAAAATACTTAACCTAAATCGTTCATAATCGCCAAAAGCACTTTAATCTTCGTTCCGGGATTCACGGTGGCGGTCTCGACGTCGATGGTACCTCGTAGAAGTAAAATAATTGAATAAGCCGGAGGCAGAAGCTAGGAAGGGGGAAGGGAGGAAAAAGGATAGATAGAAAGAGAGAGAAAGAGAGAGAGAGAGATAGAGAGAAAGGGATAGAGATAGAGAAAGGGGAAGAGGAGTACCTTTCGTTAGACGAAATTTATAATAATTCCATCGGCACCCAGGGCATTGTAAAAGGGCTGATAAGGTCCCCTCCTGTTTCCTTTTGACTAAGAGGAAGGACCTTCGTGTCGTTCTTTAGTCCTTTAAAGGAGAAGAGCACAGTGAAATAGATAAGAACGTTAAGAAGGCAAGAAAGAGGAAAAGTCATACAGTTCCAACTTCAACGAGAAGAATAATAATTATAATAAAAGAGAGAGAAAACGAAGAAAAAGATCTAATTAAGAAGAAGAGAGTAAGTGAGAAAGAGAGAGAGAAAGAAATAAAGGGTAAATGTTATCGAGATCAGACATAGTCTCGGAACGTTCTAGTTCACGTCGAGCGTGAAATGGTCCTCGTGAAGAGTCGTCACAAGGGTGAAATCACTCGGGTCAGGGACATCCAGTTGGAAAAAGGAAATCGTCGAGGTTTCTGTCATTGCGAGAGAAGAGTCTCGAAACCGTCGTTGGCATTGGCGAAGGCGAAGGCAAAGGCGAAGGCGAGACCGAGAGAAGGAGAATAAATAAAATAGCCTCGTGACGGAGGGACTTCGTACGGCCCTGGCGCGGCTGCGGCACTGCGCCCCCACGGGGGGCTCTCTGCCAAATACTCCGAATCTACCCTCTACCCCCGAACACAAGGTTCACGTGAGTAACTTTACTACGTTCGATACTTTAGTCGAAATATACGATAAAAAGATACTTTTCTTTTTTTTTTTTAACCAAAAGAAATGTTTCCTCCTACTTTTTCTCCAAAAAAAAACTTTTTTCCTGTTGTATTCTTTACATTCTGTCATTTCTTTTTTTTTTACTTCTCTCTTCAAGTTCTTCTTCATTTTTTTTATACGTACTTTTCTTCGCTATCAATCACGTGATCGCTCACTAATTTTTAATCTTTTAAAAATCGGTTGTATAATAGATGTCTTAATACAAAAGAAAGTTCATTTGAATCTAAGCTTATTGGTGATCCTAGTTTATATATATTTTATAATTTATTCATTCATAATTTATGGTAACGTCGATCAAAGAATGATGGCTCAAGAAAAATATGATATGCACTATGCTAACTGTATTTGATTATGTTTAAATATTTCATAGAAAAATTTTAATTAGTTTTTGATGAACTCAAATATTATTAACAATATCATTTATTAAATAACTGTACAGTTTTTTTTATTAAAGACGTAATCAAAATTGAAAATGTCATCGGTTCCATTTGATAAGATTCAGCTTTTTTTTCACGATCAATATTTAATTTATTTCAACAAATGAATCAATCAATTTCAAATTGAATTGTTCATGATTTATAAGATTATGTACACAAATTCATCTCCTTGAGCGATTATCAAATAACCGATCACTCGAACTGATGTTTAATCATTGACCACTATTGTTACAACTGAACTTAGTCCTTAATTAAGGATCATTGATGAACTGTCGTTAAGCATACTTGATACACAGCTTGCCCGTAAGATAACTAAACAATTTTATAATATTTATTATTCATTAATTATTATTACTAATGTCTTATTCCTTAATTTGTTTTTGAATGATATTATAACAAACGTGCACGTTATTGTTGTTCTTTCAATAGTAGCATTATAATGACGTTAATAATATAACAAGGAAATAGTTAATTTTTTTTTTATTGAGAGAGAAAGCGAAAGAAAAAGAGAATGTGCATTCGAATAATTATTTCTTATCATTTAATATCCTACGTACCGTACTCATTTCATATACAAGAAGCATGGTGATTAATCGAACAGCTTATAACAAGATCCCTTAATGGATGTCCAAGGAGTTCAAGGTATTCTAATGAATAATAAATCTCATCTAGGTCATGTAAATGAAAACGAACCGTCGTTTCGACTAGCCACATAAGATTTTTTCATCGTTTTTAAAGTAACCCTTTGCAAAAAGAAAATGTTTCTTCACTATCTTTCTATCTGTCACATCTGTATAAATGATTTAAAAGCACTTGCAAAATAATGTTAAAAAAAAGATAATAGTATTAATAAATAGAAGAAAAAACACGCTTTCAAATGATATATAACATGATTGAATTTGTTGAAGATTTTATTTGAATATCAATATACAAAACATAGACGATATGAAAAAGGCTATTATTTTAGCACGCACCTAATACAATATTAAAATTGATCGTGTTATACCGTTGCATTACGTACGAATATATATATGTATATGCAATAAATATTTAACGTTAAATATGTTTATGGTTTATGACCGTATCGTATTACTGTTATTATCGTTCCATTTATGCCGTTACCATTCCGCTTTTCGTTGTTTGCCTTCAACTTAGGCATTACGACATGCCCTGAATGCACTTTACTGAGCCATATGCTTGTGAGAACACGCGAGCTTGGGTTCGAGTTACGAGCGTAACGATTAGTGTCGGCCCATTCAAGTAGGTACCTGTTTCGTTCGATGAAATTGCGATTAGAAATTGTGGTAGATTAACACATTTCAAAACTAAATATTTCAAAACTAATTATTTATTATATATATATATATTTCTTTTGCCTTCTTATATTTTCATTTAATCCGATTAAAACAGTTATTATGATTAATCTTTGTGTGTCCTACGTTTATAAATCATAATTATCAAATCTTCTATCGTAAAGAATATCATATTGAATAATTAAATATATCAATCAAGAGATTGTTTATTTTTGAAATTGTATTTATTATTTTCAACTTAAATTTTCGATAAAACGTTTCTTTAATTTTCATTTATAAGTAATATTTAAATTTTATTAATATCAACAAGATAAATTAAATAACTATTTTTTTTTCTTTTCTTAATTCATGAGACATTTGATTTTAGTATAGAATAATACATTGTAATAATTTTTTTTCTTAAAATTGTTACACCTTAGTTGGTAAAAGTACAATGTTGTTGCGACCTCACTTTTCTCGCAATTAGATTAAAGCATTAAATTTTCATTACTTTCTTTTATTTTTGTTCGTTTCTTTCAATATTTGTTAATCAATTAATTGATTAATTTCTCTTTACATTTCGCATAAATGTTGAACAAATTGAAAGTATTAAAAAGTATTTCGATTTTAGATATCACGAAAACAAACCTAAGAAAGTTTATAACACGAATTGATTTAAATGCGATTTACGCGAGTAGTTTCTGGACGAATCGCATGGCAACTTTGAAAGCAATTTTCTCTCGATAAAACGAAATTCGTTGAGGACGCATGGCACGTCGAGAGATGCAACAAACCCCTCTTTTCAAATTCTTCGAGAATTAGCATAATTGCTCGATCGGTTTAAATTCTTGAGACAAGAAGATATTTCGATAACTCGAAAATATTTTCCACGTGAAAATACTTAGACTCGAATAAAGATAAACAAACAAATAACAAATATAAATGCAAATAAAAAAAAAAGATTAGAAACATATAAATAAAATGTTATTAATAAAATTGTTGATTTGTTATAATATTAACAATATAATTGATCATCTATCTAAATACTTAATTAATGAATGAAATATAATATTACAATAATTTCGATAAAATAATAAATATTAATTTATTCGTAACTATTAAATATATTTTTAACAAATAAATAGAATTCGTATATAATACGAATACAATATATCTCAGAAAATTAAATTGAAAAATAAATTTAAAACGGATAAATGTATTCATTTCTATGGAAATTGTTTGAATTTTTGAAGCATTGGACGAACAAAGAAAAAGAGAAACAAAAAGAGATAGTGATATCAAATAGAGGGGATGAACCAACGAATATTGAACTATAGTCATGTCCCTGACCTACCCTTAGCAACCAACCAACATACAACTGGTACACCGATCGAAAAGTTTAGACAAGCTAGTACCAAGTTAAGATTAGATGATTAACCCTTAACATTTTGTGTATCCGCAAATTGCAACGGCACAAGCATGTACCATCCTAAAACGTATTTCTCTTTTTATCTCTCTYTTTCTCTTTCTCTTTCTCTCTAGGTCAACATCATTTCAGCCGTATCACCTAACATAAGATTTAATCAGAAACTCTCGTAAAACTTTATGTATATCACGAAGATGCTTTAATTTTATTTCCATTTTAATATTTTCATCAACAATATTTCTCACGAGTTATTTTCATTTGCAAAATATTCGTGAACAAAATAGAAATGATTATTTTTTTCTATTCTTAGTAATGCGAGAATGAATATTTTGGAAGGGAAAATTTTTAATTGTTTTTCAAAACGAATCAGAGTCCGGTATACGTATGCGTGTATGTATACGTGTACGTATGTATGTATATCCATACACGGTCGCTTAAATACATTGTTCTAAAGATTTTAATTAATTTCACTTTTTCGTGTGTCCAACGGATCGCTTGAGAAAGCTTTCAGAAAATATTCGTCACATTTTTAAGAAAGTATTAGAGCATGCATTAAATAATTATATTTTTTTTTGTTTTACACTCACCGTTCGAATGTTTCATTCATTTTCATCCTTCGTCGTCCAGATTGCATCATTTTCTGTCGCCTTTACCCTGCATTCGTTTAGGTGTCACCAAAAAATCACTGCATTATTGAATCACTTCACTTTTATTTCCCGCATTTTATAATTCACGGCATTAAATTTTCGTATTTGACGATTATAAACATAATTCATTGTGACTTTTTTCTTTTTCGCAGCACACGCCAATAAAGTAACTTCACTTTTTTTCATTTTAACCTAACAACGTTTTTCTTCTTACACATATAACTTTTAATATATTATTTATTTACCGTACCCGAGCGCGTAACCTGTTAGAATTCGCGTAAATACTTATAAAAGAAAGAAATGTAATAATTAATATTTAAATTGTAAAGTTTAATTACGATACGTCTTAACCGAACACCAAAACAAAAAAAAACTAACTTAATTCCACGAATTGACGTAGAGTCTGCATTAAAGCTTAATTTTGATTGATTATATCGATCGTGATTATCGTTGTTTCTAATAAAAATGTTGCTCGGTGTACGTCTGTTCGAAAACTGAGAAGAACGACGACTGAGAAGGGAAACTATGAGTAGGGGTTAATCTTATCGAAAGAACGACGGATTTTACGGTCGTTCAATATTTTGTTTTTATACACATAATATCTCACTTCTTGGCTGTGTGTTTACATTCGACTATTATCGTTTTTAATTTATTAAGAATCTCGTCGTCGTGTCGAATTATTTACACGTTGACCTTCTTGTTTACTGTACGTTTGGTATATTACGTTTTCATTTTCATACTCGTTGTCAGTCTATTTTGAACACCGAAAGATGTAAGAACGTTATTAGATACGTATAAAATTTATTTCACGGATAAGCGCGAGTATATCTGTGTGTGTGTGTATATGTTTGTGTGTGTTCTATTCCTATGCAGCAAGTGATATACATATATGCGCGAGTGTATGTACCGTTGTCAAGTGATATACAAATAACAGTGGATACTTGAATATGTCAACGTTAAATTGTATAATTCAGGTAAATCATGAAAAAACTCTAAATTTTATTATTTTTCATCCATCATAATTAAAAAGATTTAAATCATCATTACTTTTAATGAAACGTGTCTATTTTTGTTGTTGTTCCTGTATGAAATATGGATTACATCTTTATTGAAACGAA